ACAGAAATGCAGCCAACAACGCGTGGGTTTCAGTGCAAGCAGCCCAGCTGCGCTGCGTTGCTCAATTTGAGCCACCGAGTTCGGCGCGCACATGGTTTCGTTTTGTGTGGGAAATCGCTTGAGGCTTGAGCTATGTACACAACTACATCGGCACCACTGATCAGTCTTGAAGCTCAGAGGAGTGGGTGGGGGATGTGCTTCACTCCGAGTGGGTGGGTTGCGAGGGAAGGGACGCCACTGAGGTGGAGTGCATGTACTATGAGCTTCCGGAACGTCGGTGCCGTTGATGGATGGGTCTTCAGATGTACCAAGCAGGCAGTGGGCCAGGCCTATTCCTTATTCCCCTTTGCTGCTATACGTCAGCATGGCAGCTTACATGGACTCTTCGAATTGCCAGTTGATGAACGAGCTGGCAACCTTGAGTGATTACCATGATCCCAGCAGGTTTTGCTTATCGATGGAGCAAGACGCCAAGACATGGATGTGTTAATATTGGCTGATTCACGGGGAGGGTGTGCAAGAGGTTTTCACCTGCTAGCAGGGAGTCTCCCGGCCACAGTTTCTTCACAGAGGTGGGAGTCACTTGAGTGCACCAGCTTGCCGTGCACCAGCTCGCCAGTGAAACCAACATGGCCGTCCTGAGGCATCGGCCTGGTATGGCTCCCTTTTGCATTTTCGACAAGGGCGCTGTGGGAGGACTTAGCCGTTGGGCAGACGACGTAGGCGTTGGGCCTGAGGGAGAGGGACTGAGGAGCTCTATTGAAGGCCGGCCTTGCATGGAGCCACGTCATGGAACTACAGCCAATTTTTGGGCAGTCACCTACTGAGTATTTCATGTCATAGAGAGTCCAAAGTAACATCATTTGGATGGTGAAGGTGAACAAAAAGTACGACCCGGATGTTCAAATATATATATATATATATAGGGATTCACTGTAAGATGGCACAAGTAAAAATGCTCAAGGTGCCATGTTGATCACTATCAAAGGGTGACATCATGGAGTAGAAAAGAAACATGGCACACAGGTACGGATGCCAACTTATCCATCCAAAACTTTGCTTTTTACTTGTGCAATGAGAGACAAAAACCAGGGCGGAGAGCTGGGATGAGTGGATCCATTAAGCTGGCACATATCAGATGCCAGGTGATGAGAGGGGAGACTCTCAGGGAGGAAGGTAGAAAACAGGGGAAAGAAGAGAGAGAGGGAGGGAGAGAGAGAGGGAGAGCAAGGTTCAAAAGAAAAAGCTAGGAAAGGAAAAGACAACAGTGAATTTGTACAGCATGATCAGCGACAACATGCGACGACGGGGTCAACGGGGAAAACATGTGTGTTTTTCCAGGGTTTGAGGTTTTTGAGGTTGGTAAGGTTGATTTTGACTCATATGCCATGTTCTGCACCAGGTTTGCATGTGCCATCTTACAGTGAATCCCTATATATACATATACACACCATGTTTGGGGGGTCTTCTCATACTCGCTTTGCGGACAGTGCGAAGCGCACCACGTCGCCCTCTAATTGGTGCTTTTTGGGCTTGGAACCATTTCAGGAATTTCATGTCATTTCAGTTTGGTGCTTTCAATCTATTCGCTGAAATGACATGAATGGAATGGAACTGTTTGAATTCATTCGTTTCATTTCAGCTTTGAGATGGAACTGTTGAATCCATTTTCATGAAATGCAAGTTCTGCGAAGATCAAATTCGCTTGGTCGGCCGGGGCGGCGTGGCTGAGGCTGGTTCATCATGTGCATTAAAAACAACCTTTGACCATCTTTGACCCAGGAGGGTTTCCCAAAAGGGCTTTTTCTCTCATTCAACCTCCCACCACTTAGAACCACCCATGCCACTCCTCATGTTATCGCACCCATCTCATACTCGCTCTCACGGCCTCACCTTCGCCTTCTCCCCAGGTGCTGCCGGCAGAGCAGCCGACCCAAGAGAAGGGCTTCAATTTTCAGCCGTTGCAGCGTCCAGAGGAGCCGCGTCCAGAGACGGAGTTTCCGATGCCGCTCCGCTCACGGCGGCAAAGAGCTGGGCGAGGTGTTTGGAGTGTGACGGCAAAGAGCTGGGCTGTAGAGATTCTAGAGAAATTATGAGACATTCAGATGATGGAGACAGCTCTTTGCACGATGGCTGTCATCAAAAGAACTTCTGGAACATCATGACAGTTTTATATACCAAGTTATTCATTACTGTATGTCTTTAAGGAAAAGCCAACTGCCAGCAAGGAGCACAGGATCAGTTTCAGCACGATGATCTTCGGAACTTGTAAGATGAAAATGTAAGCTGTTTGTGACTGCTGGTTGGTTGAACCGTGCAAACAATCACATAAGAAAACAATGTGTTTCATGATATTGTTTTTGGCTTGGTCTTCACTTACCACCCCAAGGCTGTTTTTTTTTCAGTGTTCATACTTGTCCTTTCTTTCCAGGAGCCGCCAAGAAGATTTGGCGGCGGCTGAGGTTAGCCAGGCGCCGCTCTTGGAACACCAGTGATGAAGCGAGTAGAAAGGGGAGGGTTTGCCTTGGGCCATATGAGTGAATCGAATTCATGTCCATCCAATTTGGGTGCCAATCATCTAGGATCTACCTCTGGCTGAATGTCACTTTGGGGTGGAACAGTATCTTCCAGATTCTCAGATTCACATGTTTCACTTACAAGACTGCTTGAGGGACAGACTGCGCGTCAACAGAACCTTTGTTCTTGCAAAGCTCCTGATGAGCTGACCAGATGATCAAATCAGTTTTTTCAATGTGTGTTTTTCTCAAAAAGCGGATTGAAGTTCCCTCTACATCGGCCCCGGCCGCAAGGTGCCGGCCACAGACGTTCCACCACACCGAGCGCTTCCTTCGAGGTCCAGTGGAGTTCCTTGAGCGCTCCGCTGCCGGCTTCGACAACATCGCCGATCTCCGGGGAGCGAATGACGGCAGGCAGATGGGGCGACGACAACGAACGAACGCAGATGGGCACGCGGTTCTTTATTTGGTTTGTCAAAAGAAGTGGTTCTCTAGTTGGTTTGTCAAAGGAACAGAACAACATGGTGGCAAATTGCTCCCGTGTGGGAGACACGCCCCAAAAAGCTCGCATGTCCGCATGTCTTCTTCGGCCAAACAAGAAACCTGTGGACCTCACAGAGATGAATCTGCAGAAACACAAGCTGCCATGGCTCTCTTGCATGCTCTTTGCCCACCTGTGACACACTCTTTCAGAGGCTCCAGCAGCCCGAGATGACCAAACAGGCACCTTCCAAATCCTCGGACTGGCGGACCAAGTGTGGATCACAGTGACGGAAGTGTGCACTGCCCTAAAAACCGCTGCCTCCTGCCATAGGTTACTCGGGTTTGTCGCCAGGTGGTGCGTCGATTCCGCATCAGCTCGCCTGAGAAGTTCCCGGATGGGCGCTTGGTGACGCCCCGCTGGCGTCCAGCCACAGTGAAGGCAGTCGAGAGGACTGAGACGTGCGAGCATCGTGGGACCCTGCACACTGGGCCATTTAGGATTTTGAGGTTGATGATATATATTATTATATATATTTTTTTTTTTTTTCGGGTATTAGGCATAATGATTGGTTGCGCTGTACAGCATGGATCAGTATGGTAGATGCAAATTCTTGGATAGGGAATTGATAGAGGTAACCTTTGTTGTTAGCCTTGGTGCCTTCACGTGAGTGGTTTTAAATCTTTTGATTACTCAGTGCCTGTGCACGGTGCTGAAAACACCGTGCTCGTGCGTGCGTAGCAGATGGCGAACGCCATGGCTTGCTGCGCAGTTTGAGGTTAAAGAGCCTCAAGCAGGGCATTTGCTAAGAGCTGAGCAGGCACCTAACTAATGTCTAGTTTACTCATTTACTCATGTTGGATGACAGACCCATGTCAAACCGAGCTTGGAATTTCTACAAGAAGGACCACATTACTGTCCCCAGCAGTTTTGTAGAAGCATTTTCCGAATCACATAGACTACTGTACCACAGCATCGTCTACAGCATTGCCCCTCAAGAATTGGACACAGGTACTGGTAGGAATCGATCTTAAAAAGACAGAGTTTCATTGCTCGAGGTTTGAATTTCTGCTCGAAGTACTACACCGATTATTTGCTGCAACGCACACAGAGCATGGGATGCGTCTACCCATTGATCCTCTACTGAAGTGACGGATGATCTGCCTGTCCTGCTCCCCCACCGTACCAGATCTTTTCCAACACCGCTGGTCCGGACGTCAAAAAGAAGCGTGTCCGCTCTCGTGCCGGCCGACTGGAAAAACGGTGTGGAAAACGGACAGGGTGAGAGGTGTCTCAGTTGAACTTGGCACTGATGACTAGGTGGAGGAGGGGGTGACTATTTCGCAGTAGTGGGTTGTTTGGGCATAGCGGCATAGCGTGAAGTAATGGGTATGGAAAACCCCATCAGAAAGGCATGCTGATCTGTACTCTCTAGATGCGGGCATCACATGGGGTTGTGACATGTTTTTGACTATATCAATCAATGATATCAACCTAAGGGAAAAACGGATCAACTGTACTACTCTGGTTTGCTTTTTGCTGCCCAGTCTTTTGTGCCGGCCATGGTAGCTTTAGCCGTTTCTCTCGAGAAGCTGGGTTCGCAATACATGCTGCTTCGCCTCATGAACGGGTTCACACTTTGCCGACGTCTTGAGGAAGTCCTAACCTTTACCCCCGTGGTGTTCATGTGTTAAGATACTTCAAGAGCCTTCCCAGGAGTTTAGACTAAAACCACAGATACCATGTCCCACGCTGAAGCAGGTGGCTGAAAATCGCTGAGGATCTTTGACTTGAGATATTCATTTGTTTGGAACACAGTGAGAGCATTCAGTTCTTCCATGGATTGAATGGGCCGGACCTGCGACCTAAAGGTCCTACCATCACCAGTTTGAGTTGGTGGGTATCTATGAAGTCAAAGGCACTTTTGGTGTTACCTGCAGGCCCGTGACTCATTACGGCCCATGTCCGTTTCACTAAGTGAGTTGGATATTCGTTGCATGACATGAGAGGAGTCAGACATTGAAACAGCCTGGCGCCAGACTCATGGCGCACATGGGTCGACGACCAAGCTGGCACCGAGGACGGCGACAGCGACAGTGCGGTGCTTGAGAGTTTCGTTCAGGTTGAAAAGAACCGCATTGGCACTGCAGGATCTGTGTGGGGAAATAAGCATGGATGGAAAACAGAAATGCCTAAATCATGTCGTGTTTTTCAAACATGCCGGAAATGAGGAAAAAGAAAACAAACAAACAAGTATGGAAATATATAATGATTTTTTGGGGAAAAAGTATGGACATAATGATTTTTTTGGGAAAGCAAGGTGAGTCACTCGACAAAACCAAGGCTTTTCGTGTCGGCCCATGCACTCGCCAGCCCGTCGTTGCTCAAGACCGAACTCCACATTTGCATACGTATTAAATCGTGAATGAATAAACTCTTTTCAATAGATATGGAACCTGACTACTTGACCTGGAACCATGGCTGCTTTACCGTGAGACCATGACTACTCTACCTGGAACTTGGAACCACTAGTTTATACCATTTTACAGTATACCATTTGTTCTGCCTTGTCCAATGACGAACCAACCGTTGTCCAATGTAGCTGCCACGGCTTCGGTGGCATACAGTGCTTTCACGGCAGAACCACTTTTTCTATCATACGAGGGGCACCCTGGTTTAGAGAAGATTCTCAATTTCTAGAAAGGGCCATGATGAATTTTCTATGAACGTTCTATTAATGTTGCGTGGTGAGAGTAAACCATCAGGGCAAGCAGCAAGGTGGGTTGCAAAGTTTGAAGATGCTGCCAACCGAATCCAATGTTGGCTGGCTAGTTCACCCCCAAGTGATAGGGCATTGTAAAGAATCAGGGCACCTGGCACCTGGTCAGCCTTCGTTTTGGGAGTGCTACTCCTAGTACTCCGGTGCGCCAAAATGACAGAAAGCCATCAGGGACAGCAATGCACAGGGTGCGGCGGGCTGGAAAGTTTCCAGCTTCTGAAATGCACTGGCTTCAAGCTCAATCCTTGAGTCCTTGCCGGTGAATAGAACCATTGTTGTAGTTGTGTGGCCAGTGGCGACTTTGAGATGGGGCAATGTCATGGCAATGTAAAGGCCTGGATCAGCCCCTAGTTGGATTTGACAATGGGCCCGGGCCACTCTACAAGTACTCTGATGAACTACAAACCAACAGAGTTCGATCGGACCTGTGGGGGTGCAGAACGAAAGATTTACTTGCCGAGCTACAGGCCTAGGCCTAGGCCCTATGAATTTTGGCCCATGGTCCATGGTGAATCCGCTGATAGTTGGCTAGGTCGCCCCAAATCTTTCAGATATGGTCATGTAAAGAGCACGAGGGGCCAAGTCAGCCATTATATTGGGAACACCACAAAGCCAGGCAACCCTAGCAATGCTCGGAGTCGGACGAACTATTATTATTGCTGATGGCTGGATCCATGAACCCATCTGTGGAGCCCCAAAACACGCCATGAAAATGACCAGTCATGCAATGATGTGGCTTGGCACTCTGGACTGAGGATGACCGAGAGGATGAATCGGATGATGAAATTTAGACTTCATTTTGGAACCAGGACTCAGTCTCACTCTATGTTCGGCTGCAGGATGTCCGTCTCAATTCTTTCGATGACTGTGTCAATTGAATTGTGTCTTCGTTCCAAACAGTCCGGCTTTCGCAGGCCGCCTGAACAAGCCAAGCTTGAAGGGGTTGAGGTGGGGTTGGCCAAAGGGCCGTGGCGCTGGCCAAACGGCCATGGGCTTGTGCCGAGAAGTGAGAAGAAACTATTTCATGGGCACTGGATTGAGTGCTTGACATCAAACTGATTGGTTGAGCGGTTGAGTGCTTGATCTCATGGGCACATTCTTTCACATTCCTTCACATTGAGTGCCTGACATCATCTTCCACTCTAGTAGGCATGGCCTCCAAACTGCTGGTGTGCACGACTGACTCAGCGCCAGAAGTGGAGAGCGCACGACTGACTCAGCGCACCGCCAAAGAGTGCAGCAAGTTGTTTCAAGCAGTCGGAGTGGCGAAGATTCTGATATGTGCGCATATTATGTGCATCTATCATAGACCACGAATTGTGCTACAAATTTTTTCCCAGAGACCACAGGTTCACAAACCGGGCTGCCAGATATTTCGCACAGCAACTCAGGGGTGTGTTTTTTAAAGATGAAAGAAATCAGGAATGACAATGTTTACTTTGTATATTTGGTTTTTCTAATTCCCTCATCCCTTGAAAACCACACAGTTCGGAAGGAGGCCTGGTTGTGGGTCCCACCAACTCTTATTTCCCCAGACCCGGGTTTATTTCCTTTAAAGCCACCACTTCAATCCTTTAACTCCTTGATTTGTGAAATTTGACAATGGGTGCGTCATAACATATACAGAAAGATGTGTTTGACGAGCAGGTACGTAGATGGTACTACCCTGTGGATGATCCATTTCGCTCCGTAATACCATAGTTCTTCAACGGTCCATTTTGGGGCTTGTGTCCAACTTGAAGGAAGAGCAGATGGCCCCAGAAAAACAGATTGATCCATTGTGCTACAAGCTATCTGGTTGTCCATGTTTGAGGACGGGTATTCTGTGGTAGATATTGATTTGGCGTGGCATCAAAATTTGTCTTGGTGTTAAAACCATTCATTTTAAACCCATTCGGTGGCTAGCGACCCGCAGAATCTGTTGGCAAGAAGATGTGATGTGTTTCTCAAGTTCAATGAATGGTTCTTTTCAGTCTCAAACATGTTCGGCTGAGTGTATGAATGTGTGCTTCTGGTTCACCTGAGAAGATGTTGCTTGTTTGTTCTTGTACAACTGAGTGTGGTCTTGTTCAACCTCAAATTTTCAGTGTGCTAGGGCGGTCGGTCATCAGTCTTCACCCTCTTCTATTCCGACCGTTTTTTTTCGGGCGGCAGGAGCATGCTTGGCACGGGGGCCAAGCTTCGGCATGGGATTCGTGGGCATGTGGTTTTGTCTCAAAAGAAGTGCTAACCACCATAATCACGGATGTTTTGTGTAGTCTAGAGTCTAGTTCCCTTTCACCAGGTTTTCTGTTAACCCCATCGATTCTATATATCAAGGGATCCAGGATCCAGCCATGGAAGGCGAAGGTTCGCACACAGCGACCTGAGATCTTGTGTTCGTTCCGGTGTTTGTGTTGTTTTTTTTGTTGAGTCCAAAGGAAGGTCTGTCGTGCAGAAAGCTTTCAACAATAAGACTACTACCCCAATCTTTTCTGACGACTACCCCAGTCAGAACGGGTGGTTTTGAAATGCTTTGAACAGGTTTGAAAGCAGATTAGCGGTACTGTGCGTTTTCAAGTCCCTTCTGTTGGATTTGACACAAAACGCTGGCAGCTGGAGGAGGGAGTGAGAGGGACAAAAACTGTCGCCAGTTTATTTGGCTCATGAAAGGCCACAATCAAAAGCTTAATTACGTAACGACATGGAAACTAGTTGTTGCTGCCCTCCCAACTCCATGATCAGCTTTCAATTGTTGTTGTTTTCTCTTCGTTGGTTGGCTGACTGGAAAGAAAAACACACCCGACTTTTAGATTCCTTTCCATGTCACCTGAGGTCCAAGTGATTCTGGTGCCAACTCAGGCGCCTGGGGTTCGAACCGCGCGGTTCGTGGCGACCACCCGCGGTTCGCGGTTTGGACGTCGTGGCGACCAAGGCGGTGGAAAACCAAGAACGGTGCTGGTGCGGTGGACCTGTGACGGAATGAACTGGAAGAGCAGAGGTATTTCGGATGTAAAAGGACCTCTAGGGACCTCAACCAGGAGGTTCTCAACCAGGAGTGACTGTTCAGTAGACCAAGGGACATGGGAGAATTTGGAGCATGAAAAGAACTGAAAGAACTGAAAGCAAAGTTCGGCAAGCACTAGGGGCAATAGGGGTATATACCTGTACTGAAAAAGAGGAATGGTTTTGTTTTTTCATGCCTATGTGTCAAATATCAAGTACCCATAATATAATCCTTGGTTCACCTGGCGCTGGAAGGTCGTTCGCGGCAAATGGTGGACTGGTCGGGCTCCAGGTGAAAAGACCTATGCCCAGGTATGCCCAGGTTTGGCAAATATCGGAATCCTAAGGCATTATACCTAAGGTTTTGACTTTTGACCCCATGGTGTCCTCCCTGCCGATTCACTATGGTGTCCTGACAGCTTCAGGCGACCTGCACGGGTGACTTTTGGGAGGCGACGACTCGTCTCCGGGGGACGATCTGGCCGGTGCGCGGTGACGAGGATCTGTCCGAAGCGATGGGTGTTTTTCCACGGACTTCATCAGGTCCTCCGGTGGCAGAAAATCAAGACCCGAGGTCTAAGAAGGTGGCACAAGGTCAAGGTGACCTTGTTTTTCCCGAGGTCTAAGGTGGCAGAATATGTGTTGAAACACTGGAGACGATCTCCTGGGGAGGAGGAGGACTTTGTGGGATGGTATGGATGTGTTTTTGGGCACCACCATGGGACCGCATCATCCTGGAGGAGTCACAAGGTCACAAGATGTCACAAGTGTAGTTTCTTGGAAAACACCACCGGAATCCCGGTGATGAGCCCCTATTTCTGCAACAACTTATTTGATGAGTATGCCGCATATGCCGCTTGCTACACTACACTGCTTGTCCAACCACCACCAGAAAAAGTCTGAGTAATGTTATTTGTTTGAGTTTGTTTACCTTTCCCCCAAAAAGGGTTCAATGGTCAATAGGGTTCAACCCCTGCACTATTCACCGTGTTGCCTCAGGACCCCAACGCCTTTCTGAAAACCCGTGTTGCTTTCCGGATAGTTTTATTCCTGAACCGTAGGTCAAACAAAAGTTGTTTTCCTTACACATCAAGCAGCCGAACGGTCTAGCAGGTAGCCTATACCCTGAGAGTCAAAGACTATATATAAAGAATGGTCTTTAGGTGACCCGAAAAGGAATATCCTTTACTTCAGCCGGTCAAAATATAGTCTCTGGACTTCTAGGGTATAAGAAAAGGGTTCAACAACAAAACCCGTAATTGGAACCCAGCACGGTACATGTCACTCATGTCGCTATCAGCGCGCGACCGTGTCGGAGGCAGCGCTGGCCTTGGCACAAGAGGGACTCGTGAGGCGTGACACCACACCTGCGGCGGTCAAACCACAAGGAAGTGGATGAGAATGGATGGGATATCAAAACCACAGTTGTCAGGACCCCAAGTCGGGGTGGTTAATGGACACCCCTTGATGTCTTTTCAGGGGCTATTTGGTAGGACACCCGGAATCGGTGGTGCCGGTCTATTGATAATAGAATTTAACAATGTTTAACATGTGTCCACAGGTGACATGTTGTCCACATTGGTCTACAGATCGACATTTGTCCAGATTTGAAGTATATGGTCCAAAGATCTAAGCTTGATCATCTGATGAGACCCACGGACCCTAGCCAACCTTTCCACAGACCCCAGCCAACTCACAGTCACCATGGCCTTCCAAAAAGACCCTTCTGCAATTGGACTTGCGCCCTCCTCCGGCTCAGAGCGGCAGCAGATCGATCCCCTCTTTCAGCGCGACTGCATCTTCCATCCGTCATGGCTCGGCTGCTGCTTGCATTGGCCTGTTTATGGTGTGTGGCAGCGGACTTGAGCGCTCGAGTGGCGGAGATGGAGAAGAAGAAGGTGCGACGGCGGAGTGGTATGGTATGGTATGGTAGGGCTGGAGCAGAGTGGGCTGGAACTTCAACATGTTCTTCGCGAGTTTCTATAATTTTAGGAAGTCAAGTTGATCCCATAGCTATTTTTTGGCAAAAAGACCCTTGGGCCACTATAGGAATACTATATAGCTTGTTTCAACAAGCGGCTCTTTTTCTGTGGTTGCCTCACAGAGACTCAAAGAGATTTCAATAAAGAAGAACATTGCTCCGAGACCCTGCGGGCACACGACGATCACGGTCAGTGCACTACCACCACTTCGGTTTGTAGAGGATTTCATGGGCATCCTTTCGGGGCCATGCAATCCACTCGGGGCCATGATCATTCCAAGGAGTGTAGGTTTATTAGGGTTTATGATGGCCCGCCCCGTGTTTCCCGGAATTGGTGTCCTGCTGCCATGCCGGCCGGTTAGCGGGGCCCGCTGGGGTGTTCCTCCAATTTGCAACTCCCAGCTGCTGAAGGGTTCTCACAAGTTCCTGGGACAAATTCATATGAGTCAAATTGAAGTAGTGTGTGTGTATATATAGTATATATATATATACACAGTTAAATATACACCTACAACCCATTTGACCTGTGTTTTGAGAGGACAAGACCATATTTGGGGTGGTTAGTCTATAATCAAGGTCACTCAGGTCAAGGTCGATATAATATATAACTATACCCAGACACTCCATGGGACTGGTATATATATATATATATGTCTACATGGACCCCTGAAACCACCCCCAACTGATCGGCAAAAATGGCAGTCCCATGGATCGTCGTGTCTGGGATATATGATTGATTCACACCCTTTGATGCATTTGGCCTCTGGTGCCAGGGGAAAGAACGCTCGGCACAGGAGCCGGGGGGTCGGGGGGTGGGTGGGCCGTGGGAAGAAGGAGAAGAAGCATCTTAGAAGCCACGAATCGGCCATTTTAGATGGGGATTACAGGAAGACTCACGGATCACTCACATGTCAGTTGTGCCATTTTCTTTGATTACTTTGTTTGAAGTTGTTCGTTACTAAATACATATCATGCCATTCTCTCCATCGCAACGGCCTGTCACCTTTGACGTTGTCGCCGGGCTGAACTGGTCCAGTCCGTTCGCTTCGCTGAAACACATCTTCTACCCGAAACACACGGAAGGTGAGATTTGTGGACATTGGGTGCATTTCTGGCCTGAGGTAGTAGGGGTTTCAGATGGTGCAAGATGTCTTTCCTCAATCAAATGCATAGTTCGTGGAGGAATGTCTTCAGGTTTTCGTCCCATAATTTCCGATTGAAGCCCGATATTTCTGGGACCGATCAAATTCAAGATATTTGTGGAGGTTAGATCCAGCATTTTTGCTGGAACATTCCCTTGATCATGTGAAGACTTTGTTCCCAAATGCCACTCAGAAGATGTCACCTCCCAAACACTCCATATATGATCATGTATGCCTACATTGACCTCCCAAACCGCCCTAATGTAGGCAAAAATGGCAGTCCCATGGAGTGTTCGGGCCATGGAGTGTTCCCAAGGACACCTATGCAAAGCCGCCGGGCACACCAGCCGCAACTCATGTGCACAACTTTGAAGAAATGCAGATTGCGGCCTTGGCCCATTTTGTCGCTCAGCTCCTTTCTTTTGGGGGGACGATCGTCGTTTCGGAATGGAGGAGAAGTTGACCACAACAATGCTTCTTCTTGACTTCTGAGACTATATGTGCAGTATATATGACACATGCCTTTTGGTCTTGGTCAAAGCATCTCCAACTTTTTCCAGACACCAGAGGCCAACTAGGCTTCCTTCGACGGAGAACTGTTGACTACCAAGAGATCTTCTTTAGAAGAAACCGTGGAAATCATGGTACAAACAAGCAGGCGTTTTCTTGCATTTCATGACTCACGAGACGCGGGCAGTTTCATGCTTGTGCGAGTTACGAGTTGGTTGTTGGTTCAGACTTCATGTTCATTCACCATGCGAACCCCGGTGCTGAACCCCCTGCCGAACCGCAATCTGCAAGGTCACCAAATGCTTTTCGACCGACCAGTGCCTTGGCAACGGCCGCAGGCCGCATAGGCGGGCCAGGGCCCTAGAGAATGAAGCTATATGAGTATTAAATGGGTGGCATGCAAGCCCCTGAGCCAGCTTTGTTGCGAAGAGCAAGCTTTTTGGACCAGGCCCTGCTGCTATTCCAACGGTCTCATTGTATGTTGTGAACAGATGGCATACCAATACATTAAGCAGAGGATAGGGATGGGCTTCTTCTTAGGGGAACTTGAGCGATCTTAGGGGTTCTTGGAATCATTGGGGAACCACCATGAGGTGCCCGTCCCGTGGTTGAACAACCTTTTGGAGACCTTCCCATCCCATCCCACTCCCTCGACCCTGGACACGCACGCACACGCTACGCACGCACAAGCTCGCAGAAGCTCGCAAGTCACTCGCTAAGCTGGCATAAGCTCGCTTAAGGTCGCACGCACATCACGCGCCGACTCTTTAGCCTTTCGGAGTGGAACTCCTGCCTGCGGTCGGAGATGAAGCAGGACATGGTGAGCGCTCCTCGGCTGAAGCGGAGCGACCGGAGGGGGTTTTCCGGGTGATGGAGGGGTATGGAGGAGGTGAGACTGTAAGAGTAAGCCGTGAATGGTGATGATGGTAGCGGTATAGGTATACAGTGATGATGTGAAAAGATGTGAAAAGGTACTGGAGGGATAGTACTGTAACATAGCGTAACTGTATATGATGAGATGTCAAAAACCTATAGGAATATTTTTTGACAGGAGGCACGTAAACCGGTTGGGATGTTCATTTTCAAACCACCAAGGCAGTGTTAGATTGGCGCTAGGTTCGCGTTGACTTTTTCTTGTGTATATAGATGTGTTTAGAATCTTGCGGGGGAATGGTGCAACTGACGTAGATTAGGCTGTGTGCTGACATGCTTTTGGGTAGCAGTATAATTACCAAATACTATACTGGGAAAACACAGAAGTGAACTCTGTGATGTGTGTTGCTGTTGCCTCAAGCCGAAAAAAGTTCTTAGTTTTGTGCGCTAGATCCGCGCCAGCATTTGCGCTAGGTTTGCGCTCAAATGTATTCGATCAGAGGTTCATTTGTCCTGGAAGCAGATCTTCCAAGTAGTAAGCTTGTGCCCATGTCTCTTTTCTTATCAATTTCCTCACAGCATGGCTATCTTAGACGACGAAAGATCATCAAAGAGCTTAAAAAAGGCCTGGTGGCCTTCGCGCTAGCTACGTTTGCAACATTCTGCACCTCTGATTGAAATACTTCACATTTCCATACATCCCAGATACCCTCTCTGAAATGTATTGAGCAAGAAGCGGGCCCCCACCAGAATGACTGTTTACAGCCGCTTTCGGGAAATTACATTTTGATCACCAATCATATGGATGTATTTATGGTATTGATAGGATGAGTGACTGCAAAGCGCAGAGGTGCCTGACGGTGTTTGATCTGTTGCAACCAATCCTCCTGGGCCGGAGCTTTACAGTGGATGCCAAGGAGCCAAAACACAACGAAGCCTGTGATTTGTTGGGGCCGGGCAAGGGGGCTGAAGTCGGACCTACTTCCCGCAACCGTTTTACTGAATAAATCGCGAATGGCTTGATGCTGCTTGGATTGCTGGATCCAAGTTTTACTGTCCCAACTAAGGCTCCAAGGGTTCCGAGTCATTGTTTCATGACTCGAGACAGATTGTGATCCACAAACCCATAACATCACAGGTAATTAAACGGTTGATGTATATGTTGGTGTGTTTCTCACCCAAGCACACAAATTCTTGCTGACGTTGTTCCTTTCGTTAGAAGCGTCAGGACAGAAACTGAACATATAACTAGTGGAAGTAGTGATTGGTGGGATGGGTCTCACGATTTGCTCACTCCCTGTAGCTTTGGGTGACCGCAAATTGGATGCAGTGGGTGAACTCCACTTCCATTGAGTGTTGCGTCTTGATCCATCCGGAGAAAAATGGGCCCCACGATCTTGAGAGAGTGCTCCTAATACGAAAGGGAGCCTCCAGGAGCGCCGTTTTTGCTGATGTTTTGCACATGTTTGCACTGAGGTCTGGATATTTGAAGGAAACAACTATTCCTCATGGATGCATTGCAAGTCCACAGTTGTGTTTAATTGGGGCGACTATCATGTCCAGATATGTACAGTCTAAATGCCGACCGGCTTGGCCAAAATCCACCCTGCCCAGAACAACCCAGTCTACAGCGTGAGGACTTCAAGCGTTTAAGAGGAGAAGTGCAATGCTTTGTTTGGATTAGACAAGCAAATCATGTGGTCATATGTCGTGTGCTTGTGATGTGTTACACGTCCTTTTGCAAGCATGCCAAACTTGTAGAAACATGTAGAGCACCGAGGAGCATGAGTACTAGTTCCTCTTCTGCTACCTCATTCATGCAGGAAGATCAAAAACACTCTGGAGATTCAGGTCTAAGTGCCCCGGGCAACGGATGATTGTACACAGCTCAGTCAGGCAATTGTTTTTTGTTTCAGTGATCTTTTTTTTTTGGATATTTGGATGATTATGTGGGGCGAATTTTGGTTTTGACTCTTAGTTTCAAAGTTATGCTTGTAGCGTAGGGCAACTTGTCATGATGCCCATCAAGGGCCTAACCTGATGGGTCAGTGCGCACCTGGTGGGTACACTACACTTGGTCGAAGCGGGACCATTCCCATAGTCTTTGCGAACATCACGTGGTCCAAGCGGGTGTTGTTGTGAAGGCGAACGTCTGCAGATACGTTCTTGGAGCACTGTCAAGCTTCTAGTCATCAAGCTAGGTGGTGTGAGGTGCACGGCCGACCATGGCCACTGTCACGTGCAGCAAAGCTAGTGTCAAGAAGGGTGGGCTGGTGGATTTTGATGGTTTTCTTGCGATTTCTTGCTTTGAAGCCGCTGTGGAGCAGGTTCGCCGAACTAGGGGCAAAGCCTCCCTGCAAATGCGAAGCTCCTGCTTGATCCAGCTTCAATGGTGTTGCCTTCAGACTAATCTGATCTGTTAAAGAGTGGCCCTTTTGCCACTCTTTTGGAATTGTATCCATTAGACCAGACTAGCGCCAGAAGAAATACTACTTATACAACTGCTGCATGCTTATGCAATGTTTCTTTTCGGCTAACCCTTGCTGCCAGATTTGCCCATGTGATGTGGGTTGTCCAGGAATCCACTTCAGAGGATCTTTGCTCTACTGAAATCCCCAGAAGTCCCCAGTGACCCCTCCAAGTCACTTGTCTCCCTTCCGGACGGTCCACTCCATCTCGGTGGCCTATCTCGACGACTTGGACGAAAAGCCTTCTATCTCAGAGATCGACAGGATCCTGCATATTACTGCAACTATACGGTATTACTGTATGGACCGAAAACCCTGCTTATTACTTGTATTTGAGATGGACAGGACTCACCCGGCGTGGCACACTGCCAGGCCAAACAAAAAGGGTACCGGACTTCCGGGCGCGGGTCAAAACAAACTGCGTGCAAGTACGTCCTAATTTATCTATTGATTCTATTGTGAACCGGACCCCCCCCTTCTCTCAAGAGACCCGTTCCGAGTTCTCTTCCGATCCCCAAGACCAGGATAACTTGTCAGGGGTCGATGGTCCATGACTCATGACTGGATTTCAATTCATGCAGAGATGTTCCTGAGTTCCTCCGACGAAGGACATGGGAGAGCGACGAAGGCCGTCACCGTTTTGCATAGTAGTGTGATCCTGGCAAAATGTCAGCTCTCCGCATCTAGACAAGACAAGGGCAGAAAGACAGCCAAGCAGAGACGAGACACACATCAAAGCCAACTCTTCCAGCCATCCTTTGGAGAATGAACCCTTTGCTTGTGCTCTTCTGTGCTTCCATTCAGAAGCTTGAAGTTCCAAAAACAAGACTGAAGACAGAACTCCCTTTGGAACCGGGCACTCTCTGTGAGGCTAAGCTCCATGGAGTCCTCTTGGTCCCACTACAGCGTCAACTGGCTTCCCTTCGCGGATCAGGCCCTCGGGACATGGGAAGACAACAGAAGTGAAGTGAGTGGAACCTCAGCAGCCTTCCGCCGCTGCGGACCGTCCGACGTGGAGTCGTAGGTCAGTTCTTGGAGTCGAGGATGTGTTTGTTTTGCCGAGTCGAGAACATGAGCAGTGAAGAATCACTCAGTGGCCATAGAGCCATATAGAGGCCTGGATATCCAGCAAAGCGCGCTTGTGGTAGATGGGATGCTGTTTTGATCGACGCATGGACAATGGACACCTTACTTAAATGGGGAGTACGACTGGATGGTAGAGGATGTGTCCAGTGTTCTTTTCTCGCCCTGTGGTGATGATTGATTCTCGAAGCTCGAAGGAACGCAGCAGAGACCCTACATGTTGGTTTTGGAGATCAACCCGGCTCTTGACCACAAGGTACCAAGAGTATCCGGCCTGTGCTTTTCCATGCTACTCATTTTTTCTGGAGCGTTCTGGAATGTTCTGGACCTTCTGGATGAATTTGCCCTGAACCTTCACTGTCGGTATGTTGGGTCAACGAGATACTGTTGCAGTTCGAGCTGGGGCTATCAGGTGGTTTTGCCTTCAGCGCTTCTCCAAGAGTGGTTCTCACATGTTCTCACTTATCCTGTTGAATTTGGGCCTTGGAAATGCTTGAACACTTGAAAAACAATGAAACACATACTGAAAACAAACAATATCATCGGCTGGATGTAAAAATCCAAGAATTGACCGCCTCCTGGACCGTATGACCGCGGGTGTGTGGGTGGACAAAAAGCAGAAGCTGACGTTGACCCCGTGGTGCCAGGTACTGCAAAACCCACACCAGAGCATCCAGGAGTGCCCTGAGGTCTGGGTGATTTGATGGAACGATATGGAATGATCAATGGTGTGTGAAGATAGATGCCCCGTCTCATTCTTTTAAAAAGAGAAAACATGGATGGCGTGCTAACAGACGATTCCCAGGCTGTTACAGGTCCATTTTGGCTTCGGGCAGGGTCCAGCAGGGCTCTGGTTGCAGGAGCAATAAGTATTTCCTAGTCCTAGTAATTCTTGTGAGGAAAAAGAGTAAAAGAGTCTTAGTCTTGGCACGCCCATGTCCACCTTCCATATGTGCATTCCCCAGTGTGACCCTGTGAGAGTCACCGACGTCAGGGTTCCGTGGCCACCCTGGCGCATAGCTTGCTGGCCATGGACCAGGTGGGAGGCTGCCAAAAGCGGAAGACGAAAATAAAGGGGGCAAATCAGAAAGTTCCTGGTTGATTGCGGTTCTGGTATTCTTACTCTGGCGGCATATTTTGATTTTTCTCGATATGATTCTTGCAAGACAGATCACTCTCCAAGTCACATTCCACTGAAGTGGGAAATTGATGGAAAAGTCATTGTTCCATCATGTTCCATCCTGTTCCTATAGAGAAAGGATGAGGATTGGATGTGTTCCTTTTTCCAGGGGTCTATGTTCATCTATTTTCCACTACCGTGTCATGCGTTCGTCTCGACTGACTCACCACATCTCACCCAGTTGACTCGATCCGCACCGAGAACAGATGCCTCACGTGAGGCTTGGACGTTTTAGGTCCTAGGTGTTCGTACTGCACTATAAAGCACTATAAAGCACGCATGCATTGCTATGTGCATGGGCCTCTTTATTGGCCCCACACTGTTGCCCCATGAGTCTTGCATATGAACTACGGCTGATGACTCTGTTAAGAAAGATGCTTTTTTAGAGTAGACTCTAGATTATTTCTTAACTATAACCTTTCAATTAAGAAATGTGGCTAGCAGGTAGACTCTAAATAAGGCTTCTTATTCTATTTTCTCCCTGTCAATCCTTCTTAGACCATGAAATCGCTCTCCCTCGAGATCTAAATCGCTCAACCGCATCGCTATGCGCATGGTCTTTGACTTCTTCGACCCGTATCCCCGGATGTTGTAGAATGTCCTATCATGGTATAATGCTCAAGAATCTGAGATGAGGGGAGGGAGGGAGAGAGGTTCAAAGTTGAAGGCTCCGATGGGACTTCTAAAGGGTTTCAGACCAGTATCAGACCACCCGAGAGGACAGGTTGGGGACAGTTTTTTCAACAGACTTAGACAAGCTGAAGCTCCATGTTCTCCAGTAACTTCCGTTGACCATCGGTGACCATATCACTTTTGCAGACCATTGGAGCAGCGCGTGATCTCTCTCTCTCTCTCTCCCTCTCTCTTTCTTTCTCTTTGTGGGCCCTTCAAATTAGAACTTAGTACGTATTTAAAAGAAAACTACTTTTTGACAAAATTAGAGTCTAGAAATAACCTATTTTTCCGAAAAATAGAGTCTACTTTCTTGTTTAAGACAATTTCTTAACACAGATAGAAACCGTATAGAGTTATCTAGTTCTCTTGCACTTACACGCTTGATGTTTTATCTTGTTTTTTGTGTACCCACTGTGTTCAGGTCATGACGGCTTGGAGATGAGAAACGGCTTGGTGATTTTACTGGTACTTCAGTGGAACCACTCTTCGAGCCGTTGGATCTACCTGCAGGACCGCAACGGTCCAACCAGGGTACAGAGCGGAGCCCCTGGTCGACCAACAGGTGAGTCAGTTCGGGGAAGCGGATGTGGGGTCTAATGACACACGCAATGACAAACCCTATTGGGTGCATGAATCAATTGTTCACATCATTAAAACCCTGGTGGCCGCACCGCTGGCTCTCGCCCGACATACGGCGACCGAACCGCTGTGTCCACACGGTCGCCAATTGAACCCTCGTCCGGAGCGTCCCCCTACTTCCCCCCAAAAAAGACGTGCGTCGGTGACGATGCCGGTGACGTCACCGGACCTGCGTGACCTGCGAAAAACCAGGTCAAGCCTGGTTAAAACCGATGGCAAGTTACCCCAAGTTTCATGGTTTATATGAACCATCTGTCTAAGACGTGTAGTAGGGGTGCTAGTGCCATCGAACATCTGAAACCACTGCGGAAAAAAGAAACAATAGACATTGCTAAGTAAAACCCCTTTCAACATGTATTGAAAATCGTGCCACTATATATATATATAGTATTTTATGTATTATATATATATATCTATATATCTATGGGGACCACTATTGATTATATATCGATGTCTTTCCCACGTCTCCTTCACCTCGGCTGCGAGTTGACGAGAGAGTTTTCCAGAGGTGGATCAGCAGACCACTCGCCAGCCGGGTCCCAGAAACGTCGCGCTTGCTGCTCGGCTGTTCGACTTGGCCAAAGTAAGTAAGGCCGGTATAACAGTAGGTTAAAGAAGAACTCACTGCTTTTGGGGGGATCTAGGCCTTTAACTAGTCATCCACTATCACTGGTCATGAGAGATACCCTGGATTTGTATGTTCAACATGAGCCTGGAGCTTTACTCAGCTCCTGAGGACCCGGAAATTGTCGCCACACACTGACATTTGCCACAAATTTGCCATTATTGTGATATATTCATTCAGGTTTATCAATTCCAGCGCGAGAATTGGTAGCAAATGTCCTGCTGGTCAACATGTTTTAACATGTTGACCAAACACGTGTGACCTCGGTACCATGACCATCCTCAGCAGGAAGCCGGGCCGAGCCAATTCTCCACGAAGACGGAAGACACGGATGTCGCGGGACCGTTCGAAGACGGAAGAAGACACGGCGGACACCGTCGTGGACGGGTTGGAAGTTGAAAGCTTAGGAATGTTTGCAGGTACTAGTGCCTGTGTTAAGTGGTATGTACCGGTGCCTGTGACTAAACCCCAGCGCTTGTAGTATGTGGAGAATTTTCTCAGCATCTGTCAGTGACTGTAAGTGTCGCGTGTGCTCAACGGAGGGTAGTCTTAAACAGATCTTAAGGAGAACCATGGATGATCACAAAGAACCACCCTCACCACTAACGTCAGGTAGTCCATGGTGCATGATTGCTTGTTTTCGCCTCCCAAGGAGTATCAAGATGATGCACCATGCTTTGGAAGTGCTGCGACCTCAAAAACGAGAGGCACATGGTTTGGCATGGTTTGGCATACAGAGAGGATCGAGATGTCCATACCCGAAGGGACATGGACTAAGAAAGCCCACAACCGCCCTTTCGCTTATAGAAGAACATCAGTAGGAACATGAATCATCTCTTCAGGAGTCTACCTTTCAATACCCACCTTTGCCTTCCTGTTTCTACCCAACCAATCATGAGAGGGGCAGGATCGAGCTGCGTGGGGCTGCCAACCCCCCAAGGCCAGGTCTTCTGACAGAGCTGGGTCAACACCTGGAGCCATGGTCCACCATGTATCGAACGACCGTAGGTATCCTTGTGCCACTAGCCACAGCCATTTGCATCATTTGCCTACCCCCGAAGTTGAGGAGCCTCAGACGTTGACCCTAGCAAAGTGACATGTCCTTCAGTCCTTAGACCTGCACCGCGGTCGGTCTTCCGGTCCCTGAGTGGGGTGTCCGGTCCCAGGAGGACAGCCTCTAAACTGTGCTGAACTCTACCCTCTGACCAACTGCCCTGTTGGATGAATCCTCCGACACGAGGACACGACAGCACCGCACCGGGGCCTGTCTCGGCCGAGAAAACTCTCGTGACTTGGCCGCTCCTCTGGCCAAGGCCAACGGCTGTGGAAGAGCCGGGATCCTCAACAAAGCCAAAAGGAGGTCGCAAAGATCATTCGAATTCGTGGACCGCTTATATAGGTGTGCTTGAGGCTCTTCTGAGGACCATGTGCATGAAGAGAGGTTGGAGGGTGTGCAAATTCCAGCGGGTGCGGTGCTGAAGCTTCATCTTCCGGACGTTGAAACATGTTGACATCAGCTGAATTCGAGCATCTCACACCCAATGAGATGAGTGGTTCATGTTTTTACTGTTCTTCAGAAGAACCTTTGCTTCATTCATGCCTGGTGCAAGAACTGCTCCTTCCATTCTGTGAATTCATTCTTCTCGACTGTCTCGAACTCCTTTCACTTGCCCAATCTTCATTCATTCCTTTTGGATCTCTTAATAGAACATGAAATGCCCATTCTTCATGTGTCTTCAACATGATCGAAGGACCCTGGCACCACAACGCCAAACGCTTTTGTTTTCCGCCACCTGGACACCTCCACCGGGACCTGTCAGGTCCGGCTGGCGTGACTACGGACTGATGACCGCGTCGTCGCTGTGGGGGTGTTCCCAGAGCACTGTGGCGAGGGCAGAGGTGGTTTTGGTGGTTTTGGGGCATAGCTGTGCTAGCTGGAGGTGGTGAGGGAGTTCATGGGAGTTCAATACTTAGCCTGATTCACCTGAAACCCGAGATGAATGGTCATGGTGTGTGACTTTGCACATGAGCGTCTTTCCCGTTTTGAGGATGGTAGTAGATTGTAATGAAAACGGTTGGTGGAAGGTAGATTTCAATTGAGGTGTTTTGGTGGAAGGTAGGAACACTAAGACTCAACATATCTTGCACATTCTGGCACACCAAAAAAAGCTCTACCCTAAACCCAGTCATTCACATGGAAGTGGAAAAGCATGGAACACCCACCTGTTTCTAGAGGAAGAACTCTCATCCAAGGGGCCTATGGCCTATGTTTGTTTCACTTTCATTAGTTCAGGGGGGGAATCCAGTACCCCGCTGAAAACTAGCATGGACCCTAAAAACCACTGGTTTGTAGAGGAAAACAGTCTTTGAGGGTTCCATTCGACCCGGTTTCGTGTTAGTTCTCGAGAATATATAATGATGCTACAATCCCCCTCCAATTTGCCAACCTTCAAAGCTGTTGTTTCTAAGCCCGAACGGTCCATGGCTGTTGTTTCTACGCCCGAACCGAGGCTGCACTTCATGTACCTCAAGCTGGGAGCACCAGCATACCCTGCGTCGTTTTTGGTGGCTTTCTGGGTCGATGGAGCGTGGTGCACCTGTAGCTCAGTGTGAGACCTCTTCCAGGGGCACCTGAGCTTACAGAACTGAGACAGTGCAGAAGAATGCAGAAGACCTATAGGGAAAGTAGACTGAAGTCACAGCAGAAGTCACCCGACACCAGTTTGGTGGAGTCCTTCCCTTCCTGGAGTTCACATGTCGACAGTTTTGGCTTCAGAAGACGGTCAAAAGGGAGTTCACGACCCAAACCTGCGGTGAACCGCAGCCCATAACGATCGCTTCGTATGGCTTCGTGATATCATTGTTCATTCAGCTGAATATATAATAGGTCTTCCACCTTGGGTCTTCCTAAAAATTTCTGATCAGCTCTTTGAGGAGACCAACAGCTGGCTCGTTGAGTCATCATTACGATTGCTTGTGCGCAGATGCGCTAGTAAGGAAGCCAAGCTTTGCTGGGATGGATTGCTTTGCATCTTCACTTTTGCAAGGCTGCTTGCCCTTGCTGCTTGTCTCTTCAGACTAGTAATTCAGCCCCCTTTTCAGATCCTACGGTCAGACCGGCCACCACACCACGCCACCTTCGGGGTCTCGGGGTCTCCACTGCCACCTTCGCCGAGCCGACGAACCGCTCGCCGACGGTCTCGTTCGGATGCCGTCGCATGGTTCGATCAACCCGGAGAAGGGCGACAATCACCCGTGAGGTGGGTGAACATCCCGCAAGACAACGACCGGCCCAAGGTGACCGAGGCGGCCCAGGGAGTTTGCTTGATGTGCTGGTTTTTGTGGCCCAGGATGTTTGGAGTTGACGGCAGAAAGGATTGTTGGAAGAGTCGAGACTCTCGACGTCCCCAAAAGGAACATTCATCAGGTCAAGATTTGCGCCATGCTGCGCCATGCTGCGCTTGACTTGCCACAGGACCTCTCCTTAGACCTGGAGATGCTGCGGCCGCCGCTGGGCTCAACGAAGGGTTACTGTGGATGTCAAGAAGCGTCAAAGGGTGGCAGCAGGAGCTGCGTCAAAGGGTGGTTCTGCTTTGTGAAGTGTCAGGGTGTGAAGCTTGCACAATGGGAGGTATATTGAGTCTTTTCAACTGAGCTCAGGCTCTTGAGGCTCTTGATCTATCTGAGAGTAGAGCAAATGTACACAATACTGCTATCCAAGTGAAAACAGACTTCATGGGGTGCACATGTCATATCATTTGATCCTAAGAAGAAACATGAGTTGTTACTGAATCAGTCCATCCAGTGTCACAGATCATTTTCACATGTTTGACTTGGCACTCAAACCTTGGTGGCCGATCCTAAGCCTCAATATTGCAGAGTCACTAGCACCTGGCTGTTCATCCGTGATCGCGGTTGACAGCGCCTCTCTTGCATCACCTATGACTGAGGCATCACGAGTTCCTCTTCAGGACAGATCTTGATCTTGGATGAACACAAAATCATAAGGGGCTCGGTTTAATGAGGAGGGGGAGTGGATGAAAAATTACAAAACCATACAAAAACTACGTATCCTCATCCTCGACATTACCGCAGGACACCCCATTACGGATGTTGAAAAACTCCACTTCTACATCGTTGGCAGGAACTTTGTGGGCGACTTTGTGACCAAAGGTGTTCGAATGCCCAGCTGAGCGACTGGAGCAAGAGAAGGAGAAACAGGATAGATGAGTCAGATGAGCTGTGTGCAACGGTAGTTGTGGTGGTTGCCCTCATGACGTGTTCACCGTTCACGATCCCTTGATTCGCTTGGGGCCGTGTCCCGAGACTGGATTGGGTTTTGTTCCATTTTGCACCCTCATTGACCGTACAAGCATGAAGCATCATGAAGCTATACGTAGTTAATCCAAGGCTTGCAGGAAAGCAACTCAGCCAGTGCTTGCCAGCTTTTCTGCGGCTCAAAGGGAACGACATGAGGACTATCAACGGACGACATGATGACCTCATGACGGGGATTACCTTGATTGAGGGCGTGTTGATGCCGGAAACACAAGGATTGACAGATGGTTGCCGAAGCAAAAACATTCAACTATCCTTTGCCACTGTTTCTTTTCCGTGGATCACTGCATGTCGGTGCCTGGATAAACATGTCCATTTGCTCAAAGCGGATTCAACACTTACTTCTTTTGCATGCGTGCCTCAGGTGCGACCTACGGTGTCTCGTTGGGATCCATCAGTCAATCATCGGAATCTCCGAATCAAAATCCAGTCGCCCCCACGACTCGGGGATCCATCCCCAAGTTCCACCCAAAGTCGTTGGGCGGCCATCGCGCCATGGCGGTGGCCGTGGTGGGCGGCGGCATGGCGGGGGTGAGCGCTGCTCGAGTGTTGAGCCGTCAAGGACGGATCGTGAAAGGGGTCGGTGAGGGGGTCGCGCCTTGCTTGGCCCACTGGGCCCAAAAGGAAAGGAGCCAAGACCACAGGTGAAGATGCCTTGAAGAGGGTTTGAGTTGAATGTTTTATGCTTTAGTCTTTTTTTCCACAAGGTAGCAGTGTATGCGTTCACTTTTGTTTCACATGGTCCGGTGGTTACTCAGTTCTTTGTTGCTTACTGGAGCTGTTTGGTTTCCATCTGTTTCCATCATGTAGTGATAATAGAATACTCCCTTTCCCACAATAATAGGAGCATCGCCAAAAGACATGGACGTACCAGCGTTGGAAGATTCCTTTACTGGTGCCTGGGCGTCTCCATGTGTGCTGGGCGTGTTTCGCGGAGCCGCGGAGGATTCCAGGTTCGTTTGTACGAGCGCAGCTCACAACTGGGCGGTCGCTTGGGACATGCGCAGCTGGGTCCACATCAGGCCGGGCATGAAGAAGAGCAGCAAAGCTGGTACCTGGACGGAGTAACGAATCTGAATATCACTGAATAGTACGTATATATATAAATATATATTATAGTACATGTTCTCGCATGAGAAAATCTATGAAACAACATGATTTGCTCACTCCGAATCGCATGGAACAACGAGCTTACAGACCGAAACGCTCTGCAGGGCCTAGGGCGTCGTCTGTCGGGGCGAGTGGGACTCAACCTCCGATGCCTCGGAGTGGATCGTTGTTTCCCATACGGACTGACTGTGGTGAGCATGCCATGGTCTTTGCTAAACCCATGCCAAGACCCAAAGACCTTTCCAGGACATGTGGTTCAAACGCGCATGACATACTGGTACATAATATATATACCCTAGAAGTCCAAAGACTATTTTAGGCACCACCCAAGTAAAGGAAGTTCCTTTTCGGATCACCTAAAGACCGTTTTAAAAATAGTCTTGGACTCCCAGGGTATATATACCATTATAATTAACCCATGATATGTCCCGTTCTTTCATGGTCATTGGGCGTGAAGTTGGGCGAACCCGTTGGTATGCCGGAACCGTTGTGAACCTCGGAGACGTTCAGTGAACTCCATGCAGGTGGGCTTGGGAGCGACCTATGTGAAGGCCAAGGATCCTCTCTTCAAGGCACGACCGAGCTCGCGAGATGCAGTTTTCGGTGGCGAGGGACATGTGAAGAACGGGAGGTGGAGCTGGCCACCTGAGTGAGGGTTGGATTTCTCAGAAATGCATAGACTAGAAGGGCCTTTCTAAGACAAGAACGTGGATGGACCTGGGATGGACGGCCATGGTCCTTCGATCTACATCATGTGGGCCCTGCGGGATTCCCCAACTTCATATCGAAGAAGGCGTTTCGAACGCGGTGGTGCGGCCAGCTTCCAAGAGACATGTTGTTTGGGGTTGGGGCTCCGCTCTAATGACCAGCTTATCGAAGAAGGGGTTTCGAACGCGAGGTGGTTCATGCTTTGGTCAGATTCCAGGAAGCATGTTGTTTGGGCCTGCGGTTCCGCTCTAGTTGTCAGTTGTCCTACCAATTTCACTATTCATATTCTTGCCACTGAGCCCAGCATCCCTGCCCTCCTCCACTGCAATTCCCGGCACATCAGATGTGCCCTGCCCCACTCATGTTTCACCGGTTCGATCTGCCCCTCCACCGGCAGGCGGAGATCGCCCGGCTCCTGGACTTGGGCTTGGTCTCGGAGTGGCACCTTGGGTCGAAGGGAGTGGCACATGTAGCCCTTGGTTTGAAGGAAAGGACTTCGGAAATCCGGAGGGAAGCGGGTGCGGGATGTTTGAGATCACTCCTATTTGCATGAAGAGTCAACAAGTTCGCATGAGATGCGGGGCGTGGGTTCCGAACCTCCAGTGGCTGGACCGTCTCCCAAGTGGCTGGACCGTCTCCCAAGTGGTCACTGGATGGCTCGTCTCTTGGGGAAGATGATTTTTGTTGGATGATGAGTGTGCATGGAGTGACTGTCACTCCACCTTGTGGATCTTGTGGGTGTGTTTGAAAGGAAGTGGTTTCTGCGGCAGCCCTTTGGAGTGCAAAAACCATCGACTCACGTGACTCACGTGGCTCGCGTGACTCAAGACTTTACTGTGGTCTCAGAATGTGTTGGAAAGGAGAGCACCGAGATGCACCGAGCAACATTGGACGCTACCCTCTTGGTTGGAATCATGGAACAACAAAAACTAAGAACTTTCGTGAGATTTGGGTCCTTCAGGTAGTGGTTGTTGGGGTAGGGCATCGGTGGTGGTTTGTTTCTTCGCAACTAGGCTATAATAATCATGTAGTGGGGATATTATGATATTATGGATCAAGGCAAGGCTGTTGCAGTGGCTGTGCCCCAACAAGATGTGGAGCACCAGGGACATTTGTGTTCCTCAGCTACTCCCAGGCCTCAATTCAACCATGTATAGTCCATAATGGCACAAGATAAAAATCGGTGTTGTTCCTATGTTTTTGTCTCTTGCCGACTTATTTGGCTTCATGCCTACTTACGATCCCGATCCTACATATGTACGTGCATTCATTGGGGCCATGTACCAAATTTGCTTTTTCTTCATAGGATCGGCAGTCTGACCCGAATGACCATCCATCCGACCGAGCTCACCCCCAGTCCATCGCGCCAGGAACGCTGGTGTCCCCCACTTTATCGCCTCTTTGGTCGCAGAAGGTGTTCATTCAAGGCCTTTCCACAAAATAGTGATAATCTTCTTTCGACTGCTACTGGTAATGGGACACACATGGACACCCCCCCAAAAAAGAAACCTCACATCGTTCAATCATGCCTTTGCTCATCATCCACTGTTACTTGTAATGGGATATATCCAAGGTAAATTGTTTTTGGTGTCCCCATGTTGGACACTGGCGAAGTTGGGGCAATCAGCCAATCCACTGCGCTCGGCCTGGTGTCCTGTGCACTCTGGTGTCCTTGATTTCAGATTGCTACAGCGGCAGAGGTGAAAGAAACACATGAAATCATGGGAGGTTAGGAGAACAACTTGAAAGCCTTTCGACTGGAGGAGCAGGTGAAAGTCATGGACCTACTGTGTGTTTGTGTGTGCAGGTCTGAACCGGTTCCGAGCTGACCCACCGCGATGGTGCGGACCTTCTTTGCTTGGGAATGCTTGTCTGTATAGTCTGAGGAATACTGTTTTGGCGGGTGCTCATCCAATTCACAGCCGGGTCACAGCTCGGCGAAAGATGCTCTGCCCTTTTTCTAATTAGCCACACCTGAACTACCTTGACATACTCTGAGACAGACTGAGACATAGTCTGTAATTATCTCGCATTTGTTGGTCCCCCTTCCAGCAGATCTACACCCTGTTGGTGTTTGTCTTCGACACCACCGGCGCTCTCGAGCGCCGTGAGTTGTCCTTCCCAGGAAGCGCCCGGGAGCTTTGTGGCCAAGCCTGAGCTGAAGAGCAGCACGGACGTGTGGTACGTGGGACGACCCAACATGAACAGCTTCGTGCGACTGGAGGAGACCTTGTAGGAGGCATAATTACGGAGGGGAGTCTAGGGTGCAGGGATGTTTAGGGTCAGTGGGAGGAGGCAGTGACACCGGACAGACATTTTTTTTTGTTTTTGTTAGGTTGGACAGATTAGACTTTGAGGTTGGCACTAAAGATATCAGTCATTGTCAGATCAAGACGGCGGCGCTCTTTTTGTTGAGGCTCAGATAGGAAGAAAGTGTGTGCTCAGATCAGATCATGACCTTGCTACCAGGCCAGCCAATCAGGTTGGCTCAGCTCAGTTGTGTTCGGAGCCTTGGCAGCCTCGGCGGCACGACCATCCCAGGACGAGGCCATCACTCTTTGTGGCGAGGTCAAGTCGCTGAGTTGGGACAAGGTGCGTCTCCTTGGGCTAAGTTGGTACAATATCGTGAGTCGGAACTGTTCTTGGGTCACCGTTCAAATGTTGCATGTCTTTTTCTTGGACTTGAAAAAGTGTCAGAGCCAAAAGCATGAAACAAGATAAGCAAGGCTTTGGCTTCCACTAGAGATCGTAGGTGAAATATCTATTTGCCGCATAAACACATGCAGTTCAGTCTGTGATTACTGACTGCTGCTCGTTGGGGAAAATGCGGACGTCCTCTCATTCATACCAAATAAAATACGGCGAACGATGACTCAGCACGGCACGGGGCTTGAACATACGAACGAACACATTCGTAAACACAGTATATATTTGCAGCTACGCAACGCACGGGTTCTTTTGTTTCCTTTTCTTGGGCAAGGGCTGCAGAAAGCAGCTTCCGCATGCTTCCGCTCATAGG